TGGATTAACCAGCAGATTTGCCCCCATGTGATAACGTCCTAAGAGCTGCTTAGAAGGGAAGCCACACAAATACACCTGACTCCATTTCCTCCCTTCGTTTCCCACCACTAAATAGATGTTAAAGGCAGAAGATCCCCCTGAGCATGTATGGACCAGATAATCTAATGTGGAAAACATGCAGAAGAAGAAAAAATCCACAGATGTATGATTTTTGCCTTGGGATGGTTTCAACTCCTGGGATCAGCACAGATTGTGTGGCTGCCTGACTCTGCAGCTCAGGAGACAAACCAGCTTCTTCTAGAAGGGAAATGTTATGACAACAGTATCAGAAAACGAAGGGGAAGAGGTAGGAAAAGAAGGCGGCTGGGGAGAGTTGCTTCCTGCCAAGGGCCTCCAGGTATATGATAAGTGAAATAAGAGCATTATCTCTTGTAATTAGTACTGCATTTCCCAAAGGTCAGCTGAGGCAGAACATGCCTTGCCTGGGGACTCTGTGTGGTATATAAGCCACACTGTGTAAGGTTGTTGTTTATTCATTTATATCCTGCTTTTTCCCACGCTCTGGATTCAAAACAGTTTACAATTATTAAGCAAATATAGTTTACAAACATGTAAGTAAACCCATGACAAACCATGGCATAGTAGTTTGAGTATAGGAAGGAACTCTGGGAGACCAGGTTATGAATCCCTGCTCAGCCGTAGAAACCCATTGGGTGTCCTTGGGCAAGTCACACTCTCTCAGCCTCAGAGGAAGGCAAGGGCAAACGTCCTCTGAATACAGAACCTCCTGTGGATATCAAATTCTGTGGATGCTGAAGCCCCCTTAAATACAATGGCGTAGTAAAATGATGTCTCTTATATAAAATGGTAAAATCAAGAATTTTTTTTGGAATATACACACATACAACTCCTCCCCCCCCCCACAAAATATGAATGTGTGTGTGTGTGTGTGTGTGTGTGTGTGTGTGTATTTTATAGATTGATTGATTGATTGATTTTCAAGCCATGGATGGTTGACTCTGTGGTCACAGAAGGCCACCTGTAAATCCTGCCAAGAAGATCCTAGGATCAGGTTGCCGTAAGTCAGCCAGAGAGGGAATACAGACCAGCCAAAAGAGCCAGCCTGGGGGTGGAGTCTGGGCATGGCGACTGCACACCGGCCGCCCCAACTCCACCCCGATGCCACCATCATGCTATGCACCCCTCCGCACGGCAGCCAACATCAGGGCGCTCCCTTGGCACAGCGTTCATAGACACTGCGCCAAAGGAGTGCGGAAAAGCCTTTTGAGAGCAGCAAAGTGCCGGATCGGGGCCGTGACGTGCGGTTGCCGTGGCCTCAATCCGGCAAGGAAAGGGGAGGCGGGATACCGCCCCTTAGGGGCTGTCTAGGCACATAACAACAAAATGACCACATAAAAAGTTATTGTTGGAATACAGTAAACAATCTATAGAATGGAAACCCCTTAAAACAAAAATGTAGGGGGTGAAGCAGAGAAGAGGGTTAGCTGTTGCTCAATCCATTTGTAGCCTCATATATATTTTTCTATGCCAAATGGAAACTCTCACCATTCCACCATAAGGTTTCAAACGTTTTTGAGAAACACAAAAAAAGCTTCTGGGAAAATAAAAATCTGCTGGGGAAAAGACACTTGGAGGCAGAGGAGAGATGGAGTGTAGTTGGCTGTAGCTTCACCTTCGTGCAGCTTGTTGTTCCCTCCTAACAAATCCTCAGCCTACCAGATAATCTAATGTGGTTGCAAAGGCATTTCCTAAATGCACAGGCTGGAAATGTGACTTTTGGGCACCCTGTGTCAAACAGACACATTTCCCAGTTCTGCCCAAATATTCTGCAGCACACTGAGTCCTCTTCCATAATGGAAATTATTCAGCCTTCCACTTGTCGTTGGACTACAACTCCCAGCCTTCCTCACTATTGGTCATGCTGGCTAAGACTGCTTAGACTTGCTGTCCAGCAACATCAGGAGACTCACCTTATTCCCATCCCTGTAGGGATATTTCAAAAGGCTTTATATTTGATCTATCACGATGGTCTTATTCTGTCCTGTATGGCTCCTTCCACACTTCACAGTTATGGTTCCAATTTATCTGCTATGGCTACATCCCATGGAATCCTGGGATATGTCATTTTAGCAGCCACTGGAACTAAATAGTTCAAAAACCTACAAAACCCAGGATTCCATAGGATAGAGGCATGGCACACTTAAGTGCTATAATTGTGTAGTGTGAAAGGGACCTCAGGTTCTGTTTTCTGTAACACTTGGGAAGTTCAGGGATACTTGCAGCTTCTGTTGAATGCTCTTTATTGACAACAATAAAGGAGACAGGAGAGCATCTACATCAGAAGTAAGCAGAGGCTCCAGGGGCCATAGGGTCTACCAAAAATGTTCCCCATCCCCCAAAACCATAGAATCACAGAGTTGGAAGAGACCCCCAAAGGCTATCTTTAAAAGGCTTTATATTTGATCTATCATCATCCAGTCCAACCATCTGCCATTCAGAAAGACACATTCAAAACACTCCTGACAGATAGCCATTCAGCTTCTGTTTAAAAACCTCCAAAGAAAGAAACACCACTAAACTCCAGGGCAGCGTATTCCACTATCAAACAGCTCTTACCATCAGGAGGTTCTTCCTCATTTTTAGATGGAATCTCTTTTCCTGTAGCTTGAATCCAGTATGTCAACATCTGGTTTGGAAAACTACTTGTTGTTGTAGTTCTTGTTCTTGTTGTGTGCCTTCGAGTTGTTTCAGACTTATAGCTACCCTAAGGCAAATCTATCATGGATTTTTCTTCACAAGATTTGTTCAAAGCATTGTTGATGCTAAGCAGGGTGGAGGTTCTGTAGTCTTTTAAAAAGGCAAGTTGCCCTTGTGGAAGTTTGCAGACGAGACAAATGACTCCTTCCTTTTCAACTGTGTGTGTGTATGTGTGTGTATGTTTATTTATTTATTTATTTATTTATTTATTTAACCACTGGTGGCACAGTGGTTAAATGCCAGTCCAGCAGCCACAAGGTTGTGAGTTCAATCCCAGGGCTCCCAGGCTGACTCAGCCTTCCATCTTTTCGTAGGTCGGTAAAATGAACACCCAGCTTGTTGGGAGCAATTAACTTACAGACTGTAAACTGCTTAGGGAGTACTGAGTTCGCTGATAAGCAGTATAGAAATTTAAATGCTACTGCTATTTCTTTGGATACCTTTCTTCTAAATTGCAGTCCAGGGAATCTGGAGAGACTGAGGGCCAGACAGAGCCACAGTGCCAACCTATGCTGACCCTTACTCTACATGCTTTTCAGTAGCCCTTCAAGTTTGCAACATGCATTTTGTGCATTTCAGTTGGATTTCTTGTACTTTGCTATATGGCCACCTCTGGATATGTTTCACTCTGTGTTCTGAGAACAGCCTGGAAGGGCTGTACCAGGAGTGAGCTGGTCTTCTGCAAGGACACCCAGGCAGTTAACTGTGCCCAGCTGACTAGGGTTGATAAGGATGACTTATGCTTGGAAGAAATGTGTCTCCAAAGTCATGCTATTGAACTGACTTTCAGTGTGGTGGCCTTAGTAGAAGAAGAATGTATGTGGTAGCTTGACCTACCTGGGAGAGCAGAGAAGACTTGCAGATGACAGTAAATCTCTGTTGGAAAAGATTAAGCACGTAGCCAGACTGGAGGCAAGGATGTCATACTCTCACAGCTCACTTGAGCTTTCACTATATGACACTGGGTAATGCAGTGACGGATGGTGGCTTCTCTGTCAGAGGGACATTAAATCCATTCAGTGTTAAAGGAGGATAGGTTCCAGAACCTTGGATTGTTCCTTTCAAGTTTGCACTAAAATCCAGAAAAGATCTGGCATCCCACTTCATGGAAGCCATCAGCTTCCTGGTGTTAAGCTTCCTCCAAGCCTATATTATGTTCATGGAAATAAATTGAGATAGTCCAGTTTGTGCTTTTTGAAG